GCAATCTATGTGTTGTTAAACACCACCCAGTTGGCCGAATTTATATTCAAGGGCTCGAAGCATCCAAGGTGATGTCACAGATTTCTTTCAGTCAAGTTTCTGGCGGCTCTGGTGAAGAACATCATTTCACACACTAAACTGCCCCCACGGTTTGTTCCTGTGCTGCTGAGACACTCCAAACGTTGAAGCAGCGTCTCTACACGTTTCTCTGTGTTCCACACTCCGAAGCAGTGTTTCTACGCGTTTCTGTGAGTTCCACGCTCCAAAGCAGCGTTTCTATGCGTTTCTCTGTGTTCCACGCTCTAAGCCAAACGAAGCATTGTCAGATGCGGAAGTGCATCCACGTTGAATGATTGCAACTTTCTGAGGAGGTCAACAGGGGAAACCTGCCCAAAGTGAGTGATCCTACACAACCAATGTTACCCAACTTGCCGTTCGATTCCACCATCTTCAATGAAATTCAATGACCAAACTCAGCTCCATAAGTGACACAAATGGACCAACTGCTGAATATGACCAACTCATCGCAGCGAGAGCTCCTTTTTTGCGATCACTGGAACCGCCGGGACGCACGCTCCCAAGGCCTCGTATCGAGATCGAGCTGCTTCGAGAGAGGTTCAAAACAAGTCTCCAGCGAACCCCTGCAGGAAGGACAGTTCCAAATGGTGGCTAGGCCCAGCTAGCATTAGCAGAAGACGCAAGAGGGCGGCCACACGGGTGACCATCCTCGCTCTTGAGACCATCGCTTGCTACTGCCCTTGCGCTTTCGGTTGGTTAGGCCATTTGCCAGAAAAAACGGTGCAATATGGAATGCAGCAGTTCCAAAGGTGCAATACAGTAGCAGTTCAATAGCTGCAATGTGCTTCGATAGAATATGGTATCAAAATCTGAAGGCAACCACTCCTCCTGAGAATACGAACCCCAACTACTTGCCATGTGATTGCGCAGCAGTGTTCAAGAAACTTGGAGCCAAACAATGCCAAACATAGCCAAACCATCAAAACGTATCCCTTGAGGAGGCAATTAGCGGCAAACACCCAGAAGTTGGATATACAGCCAACCGCCACACCGCTGCCTTGTGCCTATTGGCACTGCCAAGGTGCTGATCCCACACAGTTCCGAGGTTGAAGTCAACTGCTTCGCACTTCTGCGGGCGAAGATCTCCTCTTCGCACTTCTGCGGGCGAATATTCTGGAAGCGATTTCGCGTCAGGCAGTGGGTGGAAGCAAAGAACTAATGCAAGAATCACGTTCAACTAGGATGGAGTATTCTGGTATCGTGGGAGTCCTGATTCAAACAGGCTGCGCACAGTAGTGCACAGCCTGCGCACATGGCAGGCTGCATATCCATGTGCATTAACCGTTTTCACACAATCGCAGAACTGTTGCAGGGTTTCAAACACTAGGAGCTCGGGGCTTGTCTCAAAAATGCAGGGTTTAGGCTGCAAAGGACACTCAGGTGAGTACAAGTTGCTGCGGGAAGAAACGGGACATGATGAATGAGAGCCTCCCGCCAAAAGGAAACATGATACAAACTAGATCCCCGAAGAGCTACGGCTTAAGCGGCTTGAGGAGACTTGTCTGGGGAGCGAGTGCTCTCAATGTTCACATTCACTCGTGGTCAACAATAGGGCCTGGTGCACCCTGTGACAAGGTCTCTAAAATATTACAGTAACTAATTACAACATTTGTCATAGTCCAACGCTACTAGGGGCTCCTGGCCTTAACTACTAGGAGCAAGAACGCTACTAGGGGCTCCTGGCCTTACTAAACGCTACTAGGGGCTCCTGGCCTTACTACTTATATACTAGGAGCAAGAACGCTACTAGGGCTTACATCAGTCTGTTAATATCTCGAGACAACTCGGTCCTGGTGCTGGCCCATACTGCCTGATCACCTCACGAGCTGCTCGCAAAAGGCGATAGAAGTTGCGGAGGCCTAGTCAGCAGAAAAGGGGGTGGAGATGGTGGAGAGCTCCTAATATATAATGCTCTTCATCCAGCGGATTTCAGGAAAGCCAAGACTTAGAAATTCCCATACAAGGCAGTGGATCTAAGTTTGCATGCTTATGGGGTCCTGCAGGAACTCATAAATTGAGCTTGTGGTCGGAATCACCCCCGTGAGCGGCTCTCTCTATGCCCCGACGTCACTAACTCAACATGGAGTACCAACCAACAATTGGTTCATGCGACTCATCTGGTCCAACTTTGACCACTCCTGCAATTTAACAGCAAACATCCATTGCTTTGGCCTGCAAAGGGGTCACCGCTGCTGGTCGGTCCGACAATTTCAGATACATCTGTCCACATGGCAGGAAGCACCTGCGAAGATTCAACACGTCACTATCACGATCTTCAACTGATGCGTGCTTGATTCGGGACTAGCATGCTCATGGGTCAGTGCAATCATTTTTCTCTCTAGATGCAGTATCTCTGCAGAAAATCTTTGCAGCGACATCTCGCCAGTCGATGACAGGTCTCGCTTCGACAGAGCTGACTCCATGGCTCAGTCCTAATTTTCCGTGTTGACGAATGGTGAATGCGTGCTTTGCGTTGCTACGAAAGGAGAACTTTCTATGATCTTTATATACTACCCTTGTCCCCGCGCATTTGTTTTTTCGATGTCTTTTGGGCAAGGTTCACAAGCCAAGGTGATGTGCGATATGTTCAACAGCTGTGCTGACTGGCACCGCCTTCACCCACCGTCGATCAGCGGTTGCCCTTTAGGGGGCCACACGGCGCTCCTTCGGGTCATGGCAGCCCTCCTTTCTTGATCCATTCACCTTTGAAGTTGCCTTCAGGGAAGCGGATGGCGTTCCCCTCCCAGGTCACCTCGACATCTACACAGTCAGTACGATCCAAATGAGGAAGCAGAGAAAATGCCAAGCATTTATCAGCATGTCACATCACTTGAGCATTCTCTCTCTCTCTCTCTATTCTCACATGACTCGTCGCTGGCTTTTCATTCGGCTTTATGGTGCTGTGTCCTCTTGACCAAACACTACACTACACACGTTCACCTTCCCACTCAATTCTGTCAGAGCCAAGGAACGATCACGCGTTCTGGACCTCCACGGGTTCGCATGTCAAGTATCATCTCGTTGTAGGCCGCCAAACTCAGCTTGCCGGTCACACTCCACTCGCGCTCCTACGACGGCTGCAGCCACAAGCAAGACAAGCACAAAAAAAAAGGAAAGGAACTTCAAATATTAAAGAAAAGCAGGGACGAACACTCAAAAAGCACGAACGCTTGAAAAAAGAACATACACTATCACAGTTGCACCACAAAAGCTCCTTTTCCCCATTTCCGCAGCCCGGCTTTCCCTCGGCTGCATCGATCTTGACCTTGGTTCACTTGGACAATAACTGGTAGTCGGGCAAAATACTTTGCCACCTGCTCAAAGTTGCACACGGATGCTTTTTGTTGATCCTTGTTGGCAAAACCAGTTTCCCTGCTTGACAGATTTGGTCTAGCCGGGCGGCTTGCATGCCCTCCACCCGCACTTCTCTCTTGCACCCAGGATGCTCAGGATCTTCATAAGACCCTGAGGGTTGAGCATTATGCGGTAGACACATGAAAAGCTATCACAACTCGAAGCCCAATAATTCAAATCGCCTCTGGTGTGTGACGCGTCTTGACAATTGACAGGAACTATTTTGTTCTATTTACTTGGCTTTTCCAAGCGGCCCTGCCAGGCTGGAACTTGCGCAAAGCTGGCTGCGGGCCTCCAAGAATGGACAAGTATTCGTGTCTGGTGGATGTTTCCTTCAGTGTGCTGTCAAAACTGGCAGGCAAACAAATAGTTCAATTATGCTCAATTCAAGGTATGTGGCCATGTCTATCCGACTGCAGGATATACACACAGGGGAAGCCTATATATATAAGTCATGCCCAAGTCATACCCCAACCCTTCTTCCGCATGGCACAGCTGCTCCCAAATGTCATACCAAAGTCATGCCTTTGGAGCTTCTCGACCATGGAACTGCACCAGTAAGGGGTGCAAGAACATGGTAAATGTTACGAATACACGGAAATGCAGGGAAAGTCCCAGAAAGTATATAGTGCCAAGGTGCAGAAGTGCCGGTGTCAAGCCCATCAAAGCTGCTCTTCGACCAGGAACAATAAAGCCATGCCCCCCCGACCATAATAGGAAGGTCACTAGGGGCAAAACCTTGGATGCAAAAACATGAAGAACCCGTAAGAACACATTAAGAAAATTCATTGCCAAAATGTTCTCGAGGGACATGTTGGTGGTTGGACTGGCGATACGTGTGCTGTGCTTGCATTTGCCCTGCGATCTCAGAAAACAAACGTGCTAGTGCTAGTGTGTGGGTGGGGTCGCTTGCAAACTTGCAAGCCAAGAAGCTACAAGCACAAACCCGCGCTTGGTGGCCTTTGCTGCACCAACTCGCATGGCAGGCGGGTTTGGAACAAAGGTCATCGGTGAACAACAGCTATAGCACTGATTTGCTTCTAATACTCAACGCTGTTTGAGCAAGATTCACTTGTCTGAGAATTGCCAGCGAAACATGAGCATTTGACTCATCGTGTCGTCGGCAGCCTTTCCCATTTCGTCAGTACATCATATGATTATATAAGTGCTTGAGCCACCCACACCAACACAGCCGCCGTGCTTGTGCAGGAGTGGCTTAGGCAGTTCAATGAAGTTCCCAAACACGTTCAAGCTGACATGCAAGCTGCGTTCCCTGTATATATCCAAATGTGTTTCTCAATGTGTTTCAACCCTTCCTTAGGCAAAAAGCCGGCGCAGGTATTCGGTATTTTTTACCTAACCGGCACCTGGACCACGGCCACGCGGCAGGCCAAGTGCTCCTTGAGCGAAGCACGTTTGATAAAACCTTTCCACATGCAGTGACCGGTGACCCCTTAGTGGTGCAAAGCCCAAGTCCTCAACCAAGATCTTGGACAAAAGGCCTGCAATACTCGGAGCCTCCCAACTCCAACCTGCATCTCGTGGACAAAAGTGTGTCCTTTTGTTAGTCACTTGGTGCCACTCAACCTTTCTTTCTGCCGTTGCTTGGGCTGGAACAAGCGAAAATTGATAAGCAGTGATCCATATTGATCCCTGGTGAGACGAAGCATCATTCGCTCTGAACTACAACGGCGTAGCAATCGCCAACGGTTCGTGAGCGCTGGAGCCTTCAGAGCTGCTTGACCCCTGAAAATGATTGCAGGGGTCGATTCCCTGCCAGATGTGAATCGGATTCCTGGCCCCATCACAAATATGGTGGTAGTGGTGGTGTGGTGGTCCCTTTTTGAATCCTGTGCCCCCCTGTGGCCGGGACGTCCCAGTCGATCGAGCGCACAAAAGCTGCGCATCGGACGTCCCCGAGACTTGTTCGATTCTATGCATTCAAAAGCCTCGCCGTTGAGGAGGCATCAGCAAAGACGTCACGGTATCCTGATCTGACTGGCTTAAGGCCTGAGACATGCGAAGCTTTCGAGACAAACAAGCTGCAAGTGTTCACCAATCATCACCAATCTTGGCCACTTCAAGCTGGGATCTAGGCAAATAGAATCCCAAAGAATATGACCGTAGCAACCTGAGATGTTCCGCCCCACTCTGGCCCAGCTTTTCCAGTATTCTAGTCACGACGACTTCACATCTTGTAGAAAGCTTTCGGTGCAATCTTATAATCTTGTGAACTGCTGGCATGTGACACGTGTGGAGCACAGCATGGCACCTACTATCCTGATCCAGGTTTGACCGAGTCACTCCTTGAACTAGCCGCGCGCTGCCCATGAACATAAAGCCGCTGGCAGCTCGCATCTCATCCTTCATTCGCCTCGGCTGATGATCTCATATCATGACATTTTAGGCCCTCCTGAAATCTGCTGAACCAGTGCGAAAGCCCATCTCGCTTTTGACAGGGGCCGCTTGTCAGGTTGCTCTTGGTAGCGCTTGGTCATCTGCACCCTGATCTCCATGACCTCATCTGGTAAGATCTCATCACCCATGATGGCCTCAGCGAGAGCTCTTGGTTGGCCTTCGTTCTAGCGGGGCCACGCGTCACGACTGCCATGATGTCCCGTTAACCTCTTCCCCATCTAACGTGTCCACCAACTAGTGCTGTTGGGAGGCGTTGTAGGCTGTCACCAGCTTCTGAAATCCTTGGGGGTCAATGTGACACGCTCTGCATGGCCTGACAATGCGCACATCAAAAGCACCAGCTGCGCTGCACAGCCCACACGGTCAACTCCTTTCAGCCCAGCTGCGCTCCTTTGCTTCTGGGTCTTCCGGATTCACGTCTGGGTGCTCTGCAAGCGCAATTTGTCTGAAGGACTTGCGGGTGGCCTAAACAAATTGGGCTTGACAAGACTCGAAGCAGTTGATCATAAAGGCGATGGCAAAAAAACAAAACGACATCTTCAGTCTTCAGCATGCTAAATGGCATCTTCAGAACTCGCTCTGGGCTGGAAGACGAAGACCCTCCTAAGGCCCTACTAGCAACAAGCCCTGCGGGCCTTGAGCAACGCACCGTTTTGACTGAAGAAATTCAACGCAAAACAGCCGCCAAACAGCCTGCATGACTGCTGCCACCTCCCAGGCACTGGGGCCTGGTAAAATGACAATAACAACTCAGCATGCTTCCCTTCTCCGAGGCTAGGCTTGGGCGTACACTGCAGGTATCCGTGCCTACCCCAGTGCACACACACCCAGCTTGCCATGGAATGCCAAGAGTCAGTCTTGCTGGTGCCACGCGGCAGGCCAAGCACCTGACGTAGACAAACAGTCTGAATAGCACCAGATCTCAGATTCAACCAAACTGAGATCGGAGCATCAAATGGATTCTCTTGAGCGCGCCGCGCTGACAGTGTGCGGCCAACCCCGGACCTCCCTGTTGGCATCCTGAGGGCGTTCACTTTGGAGAACACGACGTGCCCTTTCAGAAAGGCATAACAAGGCCCCAAGGCGCCAGCCTGATGAATGCCCAGGGGCCAAGAAAGGTAAGTAGCAAGCAGGCATGTTTGAGGATGCTGCAGCGGCGCGCCATTGCGCAGACCAAGATACAAGGACTCTATAGTAAAGTGATCTGCACACACTTGAAAAGGGACATCCCGGTGCCAATACATGAATGAGTTGAATGACAATGTGTCAACCCACAATTTGTCTTCAAGCTATAGTATTTAGAATCTAGCAATGATATCAGCTCGGGGTGAAAAAGAGCCTGACTCACATGCTTGATCCCTGGTGAAACGTTGACAGTTGTATTGTCGTACTTTGCCCAACTCCAGTGTCTACAGTTTCCCAATCTTCTCGTGTGCGCTAAGCTGACACATGAGCTAGTTAGTTTTGGCATCCTGTACTGACTGAGGAAGCAGTATGCACTTTGGGGGCGCATACGGTGTATATACAGTATATATATATTAATATATACTTATTTTGTTCTGTCTTAATTAGTGTCCGTTTCTGATTCTGCTTCTTGTTGCAGGCTTTCTGAACCGGACTTGCTGGAGCGTTTTTTTTTGAATCTTCACTTCAATCAAAGGCCACCATTCTCCACGGCGTTCCGCTTCCGAAGCTTCTGGAGCAGGTGCCATAACTCGCACCCCTGGTCAGTGCCATAACTCGAATGGTCCAGAGAATCGGCGGCAACCTGCTAAGATCTGCCGTCGCCAAGCCGTTCTTGGTGTATCCAATGAACACTGACGGATGCACCTGCATTCCATTCCGTCTCCCAGCGCTCGTATGCGCTCGTGGTTCCACATGGCGTCACACGAGGACGCTGGAGACCGTGAAAGTTTGGAACTTGCAATTGGTTGACGATGTGGGAAAACACGGGAAAACATGACGCCAGAACGATTCCAGAGCAATAATTCAGAGTGCAAGCAAATGTCAACAACAGGCTACTTCCTTTTTGAGGTTGGCTAGAACTCAACATCAATATCATGTGCACAATGCTAGCCCTACCCTGCCTAATTTACGTTAACTTCACATCCCACAGCACCAAGCCTGGCATCAGCCTGCGTTGCTGTTGGAGGTGGCGCTCCAAGCCTTTGTTCTGCAAATGTCGGCTGCAAGGTGACTTGGTTTGTCTGTCTTTCTCCCTCCTGACTACCTTGCACCCGGCCTCGAACTTCAAGCCACCAGCGGTGGCGTGATAGAAGCTTGGCTTTCAACAATGATTCCTCGGCAGCATGAGATTTCAACCCGTGAGCGAAAGTCCTTGTCTGCAGAAACTACACCAACGTGCAACAGTTGGATGAAATGATATGAGGAAGACGCGATATGCAAATAAATAGCTCCGTAAACGAAAGCCGAAAGCATAAAAAACGATTCGAGAACATGTGCTGACATGTGCTGACCAAGTGAGAGGTTGCCAAGTGTGAGAGGAGCAAACATGCAATGAGAGAAGTGAGAGAGGCCAATGCAGCCCAGGAGATGAATGCAACCTGGCCTGAGATGGGACCGCATAGTTGAAAAGCAGCCTCACTGGGCCTCCTTCACAACGCTGTTTTTGCCTACGGAAACGTATAGATTGGCGGGGTCTTGGTGGCCAGCACAGCCACTCTACTTGGTAACCTTGCCCTGATCAGCTTGATCAAAAGGCTCATGTGCTCGTATAGGTGAGCTCGTCACCAGAGGCATCAATTTTGACAGTGTCACCGTCATTAAACTCACCTCTGAGGCCCTTCTGTGCCAATGGTGTCTCCACGTTGGCTACGATGGATCGCTTGATTGGCCTGGCGCCAAAGGTTGGATCATAGCCACGCTGAGCAATCAAATCAAGGGCAGCTTCGCTAACTTCGATTGAAATGTTCCTGTCAGCAAGCCTCTTCTCAACCCGATTCAGCTGCAGCTTGGCAATCTCCCTCAAGTCTGCACGGTTCAAAGGTCTAAATATGATGTTCTCATCGATGCGGTTGAGGAACTCGGGACGGAACACATCAGCCATGGCTTCACGCACAGCTTCAGTGACCTGTTCCATCTTTTCTGCCGCATTGCCATCGTTGCCCAACTCTGCAATCGCATCACTTCCCACATTGGATGTCATGATGATGACGGTATTCTTGAAATCAACGGTCCGGCCCTGCGAATCGGTGCATCTTCCATCATCAAGGATCTGCAGCAACAAATTGAAGACATCTGGATGTGCTTTCTCCATCTCATCGAAGAGCAGGACACAGTAGGGCCGCCTTCGTACTGGCTCAGTGAGCTGTCCACCCTCTTCATAACCCACATAGCCTGGAGGCGCCCCTGTCAAACGAGACACGGCAAACTTCTCCATGTATTCGGACATGTCCACTCGGATCAAAGCTTCCTCTGAATCAAAAAGCCACTCAGCTAGGGACTTCGCCAGCTCTGTTTTGCCAACTCCTGTCGGACCCAAGAAGAGGCAGGAGGCAATTGGTCGATTGGGGTCTGCGAGTCCGTAGCGCGATCGCTGAATTGCCTCAGCAAGGGCACGAACTGCGTCATCCTGACCAATCAAACGCTTGTGTAGCTGCTCCTCCAGGTTCAGCAGCCGTTGGCGATCTCCCATGGACATCTTCTCCACTGGAATGCCAGTCTGCATTGCTACAATCTCTTGGATATCACGTTCATTCACCAGCTCTGCGCTGTCATCCTCATTGCTAGCATTCAACTCAGCCTCTTCCATCTTCTTCTGCGCGGCCAAGAGTTCGCCATACTTGATCTGCCCAGCTCTTTCCAAGTTGAAGCTACGCTCGGCCTCTGCAAGCTCCCGCTCGAGATTCTCAATTTGCTGGCGGAGGTCTTGCAAGCTATTGATAACTTCACGCTCTTTCTGCCATTTCTCTTCTTGCTCACTCTGGGCAGCCCGAAGCTTGTCCAACTCTTCGTTGATGCCCTCCATGCGGGCAACTGATTGGCTGTCCTTATCTTCACCCACACTCAACCTCTCCATTTCTAATTGCAGAATCTTCCTGTCCAGGCGCTCCAGTTCTGCGGGCTTGGAGGTCACTTCCATTTTCACTTTGGCAGAAGCTTCATCCATGAGGTCAATTGCCTTGTCGGGAAGGAAGCGGTCCGAGATGTAGCGGTCACTCAAAACGGCTGCCGCCACAACCGCCCTGTCTGAAATGCGCACACCATGGTGCAACTCATAGCGGGGCTTGAGCCCTCGCAAAATGCTGATGCAATCAGGGACTTTGGGCTCTTGCACCAAAACTTGCTGAAAACGCCGTTCCAATGCCGGGTCCTTCTCGATATACTGCCGGTATTCATCTAAAGTAGTTGCACCCACACAGCGCAGCTCCCCTCGAGCAAGCAAGGGCTTCAGCAAGTTCCCAGCGTCCATGGCACCACCACTAGCTCCGGCACCCACGATGGTGTGGATTTCATCGATGAACGAAATGATCTTGCCATCTGAATCCTTGATCTCTTTCAATACTGCTTTCAATCGTTCCTCAAACTCACCTCGAAATTTGGCACCGGCGACCATGCCTCCAATATCTAATGAGATCACCTCCTTGTCCTTCAAGGCCTGTGGAACATCACCATCAATGATCCGTCGTGCCAATCCTTCGACAATAGCAGTCTTGCCAACACCAGGCTCGCCTATAATGACTGGGTTGTTTTTGGATCTCCTGGCGAGGATCTGGATCACTCGCCTGATCTCGTCATCTCTGCCGATGACGGGGTCGAGCTTTCCTTCTCGGGCCATGCTGGTCAAATCTGTGCCATATGTCTTGAGTGCTTCATAGGTGTTCTCAGGGTTCTGACTGGTGACCTTGCTGCTGCCGCGTACCTCATCAATGGCCTTTTTGAGTTGGGCTTCATCAACGCCAACATCTGAGAAGAAGCGTTTTCCACAGCGATCATCCTTGCAAAAGGCAAGGACCAGGTGCTCCACAGAGATGTACTTGTCACCCCATGCCGAAGTGGCTGCGTCAGCTTGAGAAATCATGGTCACGAGACTTCGGGATGCTGCGCTACCCATGGAACTCCCAGGCGATGTCACCTTTGGCTGTTTGCTGTTCCAATCCATGATCCGATCTTTGGCTGCCTGCTTGGCAATCCCCACCTTTTCGAGGATCCGGGCACACAGGCCTCCAGTGGTGGAGACTTGCTGGTCCAAGCAGGCTAGAAACACATGTTCGGGCTCCACATACTGAGATTGGCACTGTTCCGCAATCTGTGGTGCATCCTGCATTGCTTGCCATGCTGCATCTGTGTAGCGCTCACGGTCCACCGGCACAGAGTCTGTGGCAGCTGCGCAACGTTGAATCTTGTGGCTCTTGTGATGGTATGTCCTTCGGTTGGGCTTCCTGGCCAACCGCAGTGCCCCAGGAAACAAAGCACCAATGAGACAGGCTTGTGCTGCTGGGCACGCTCCGGATGCGCCCCACAGTTGAGCTTCGGCAGATGCCGGACGTCTGGGGATTGCCGTTGTAGAAGGAGACAAAACGAAAGCCGGCGCTTGTAAGGCAACAGCACCCATTCTCCTAGGCAAGTAGCATTCAAATCATTCAAAGATCATTGGGCTAAAGTGGCTAAAGCTTGAGTCAAAATGGCCACGGAGATGATTCCTTCTGCACTTCGGCAAGCAACCACAGTCACTGATCAACGCGCATGACTTGCACCCATCTTCGCAAGGAAGTTCTACTTGGGTGTTGGCCGCCCACTGGCGGTATGGAAGGTCTGCCCAGCCCAGGAAGCTCATTGCCAACGATCCTTGGATGACAAACGATCGGAGGAATCGCAAAGGGTGACAAACGGATGACTCAAATGCTGCGATAAACAGAATTTTCTACCTGCTGTGAGGCATCGCCCCCCCCAACTATAGCCGTCTAAGCCAGCCGGGTCAGGTTAGTCCTGGACAAGGTTCCAAGAGTCCCTTGACGTGTCGAACGTGTAAGAACCTCCACCTTGCTCACACAGGATGCTCAGCATTGAGACGTGCCATACTCTTTGAAGATTTATGAAAATGTCTCACTCGTCCAACATCCTAGCCTAACATAGCCTAACATGCCTTGATCATTTCTTTCTCTTCACAGTTCCTTTCTGTCTCTTTTTTCTGGGTCCCAGGCCCAGCCAGCTTCAGGATCTCCCAGGCCGGGCGATTTGATGGCCAAAGTGGGGTGGATCTCCATGAGCCAGGCCTTGGAGAAACGGTTTCACTCTACATGGCCCGTCAGAGTACGATTCCCTGGGATCAGTTCTTCTGGGAGTTCGTCACGCCGTGTGAATTTGGGTATGGAGTTGTCAGCTTCTGACGAAGCTTCCAGCTTGAGACCCGATTGCTTTCTGTCACGAGGGACTAGCCGATCCGGGCTGGGTCTAAGTGTCGCCTAGCAGCCCTGCCCTGTCTGTCCACAACGAGGTCTGAGAAGAAATGGAAGCCGACAGAGCCGCAAGCATGTGGCACTGCCTAGGGCAAGCTCGTGCTCAACCACATTTTTCCAACTTCGGGCACGCAGCTTTCCCAGACCCTTTGGTTGCTGTGCATCACGTCGATTCTGACCTATTTAAGCCTTTCATTCTTACATACTTGGCATGTCTGGGTGCATCTGTGGCACATTGGAAGCACAGTTCAGCTTCTCTCTCGCTGATAACCTGAAGGTGGAGCGAGAAAAGCAAGCCAAGTCTGCTTTCCTATTTCTCCAACGCCTTCACTTCAGCCTGTCGGCATCTATGGCTGGCGACTCTTCAAAGCAGCGTCTGGTAGCGCATTCGCGGCATCAAAGCTCAAAGGTTCACGTTTGTCCCCCTCTCCCTCTCTCTCTCTCTCGGCAGCGTGGCTACAATGGAGCCGTTGCTCCTGTACACCTCTCTTTGCGCCTCTTAGTCATTTGACAGCTCTAAAGTGAAGACAAACGGCCACATGACAACCTCTTTTGGTGGATTGGTGCGTTGCAGGTGTTGTGCGCAGGCTGCGAGGAGGCACCGCAGGCAGGTTTGTCGAAGCGGTGCTACGCACTGGCGATCCAGCTTTAGAAAACGGCCAGCTAGGGCTTAGTCATAGTCCCAAGCTGAGGCGTTTTCTTGGAAGAAACAGTCAAAATGTGTAATTACCATGTGTTCTACCACGCAAGGCCTATGGAGAGTACTGGGCAAAAGTAAGCATATGTTATATACTGATACTGCGAAAATGCAATGTTTTTCAAGGTCAATCTGTTGTGAAGTAGGTACTCGACACACCCGTGTGGTCGGCTCTTGGGGAAATATGGCCAGGCCGTTTAATTCCCGAATAGGAATGCTATACTATGTATATATATATATATTGTTAAAGACCTTGGAAACAGAAAAACTAAGCCTCATCTCGACTTCGCTCTGCCTCTTTGCACCTCGAAGCCCCGCTGTTTCTTGCGAGCATCATTCACTTCGCAAAGCTACGCCTCTGTGGACTTTTTGCATCTCTCCACCTCCTTTGTCTCCAAAAACTGCTTTAGTCTAAGCCTCTTTTTACATCTTTTTACCTCTAAGACTCTTTGCGCACCTTTTAGCCTGGTTCTGCTTCTCACTTAAAGACGCTTGATGCTAGGAGGCGCCCGTTTGGAATACAATCAATCCCCGAAGGCCCGCAATTTCTACAGACAAAGCCAGGCAGCAGGAAAACGGCCAGTGAGAGCTTGATGTTCTTCCACACTTCCTTGAACAGGACATCTGGGACAACCACAACATGGCAAGATTGCTGACTCCTTTCACCCATGAGTGCACATCAATACTTCCAAGTCCGACACCCTTCGATCCAAACCATTCTGCTCCTCCGCAATGCGAAACCACTTGTGCAGGGAGCCTGCTGCATTGGAAGAACAGCTGCTTAGACTGCTTAGACTTAGTGACCCAGTCTTCAGTCACAAACGAACTCTGATTGAAGAAACTGAACACAGTCCAACAGAGTACATCAGAGTACAGTACATGCCTGAAGAACTGCCGTTCGGTTGAACTAGCATCGACGCGATTCTTGGCTCTCGCCTCCGGAGCCTGCATCGTGCTCAGCACCCTCCGGATGCTCCCAGCTTGGAGCTGTTGGACATTGATAGGTCCCCGCCTGAGGGCAAGGCGCGCTCTCACTTTCTTTCGGTCTGGACATGGTCTCTGTGCCTCAATCTTTGGAATGTGGTGGGTCACGTGCATTAACAGGTCCTTTCAAAGCGGCCAACCGTTCTCTGGATGATCGTAACAAAATCGTTATATATATATATATCGTTATGTTGCAAGGCTCAACCAATCACTGAGAGCTCCTCAAAGTCCTCGTTGCGCTGGGCCGAGTAGTTTTTCTCCAAAAAGCCCGACCGGAAATAGCCTCAGAAAGCGGCTGGGTTCCGAGATCTCTTGAGGAGTAGGGAATGGACTATGAGAGTGTGAAAAAAAATAACATGCACCCAAGTGTCCATACTCGCTGACATAAAAACCTTGTGGTGCAGGCTGTGCAGGATTCCACCAGCATCACAGCATCACAAGAAAAAAAGTGTACAAAGTGCCCCTCCACCCAACTGTCAAAGCTTCAGGTGCCACAACCCTTGCCATGTGATGTCCAAGATGCGGAACGGATCCATCGAAACCACTGTTCCATAGATCCGGATGTCAGTCTTCACGGTGATTGGTGGCCAAATGCCTTCCAACCTCCGCTCTTGGCTGTCAAGACTGGGAAATGTGTCGATCGGCTGTGGGTCATGGCACTGGGCCTTTCCTGATCTACCTGGGTTAACCAGGTAGAAATGAACAGAATGGATGATTAATTAAGGAGGACAAGCTACCCTGAAAGGGGATCCGGGTGCCATGATCCACAGCCGCTTGACCCTTGCCATCCCTTGCCGGGCCTTTCGTTTCTGTGACTGTGGGTCGCTACTTGTCATCCATTTGTTCACATCTTGCATCTTGCTTCCAAGCTTCCGGTACTGGACTGGATCCACAATGTATTGCTGCACGACCGCCCTCCTTGGCACAATCTCTGGGCACGTTGGGTGAAACAAAGATCTCTCGACAAATGTCCACAATGCCAGAAACACAACTGCCTTGACAAGGAGGAATATCACGTCTCAATAAGCTTTGGCAACGTCTGTCCTTCTTGGCTTTCGAGGAAGACACTCCGGGCCGTTCAAATCAAGTGGCCAATGGGATCACAATAAACATCTTCCCAATAAAGAGAAGGTGAGATGGAGGGAGTCGAATTTGAACTTTTGGAGGGTTCAGGTCAACACTCACAGATCCATGAATGTCTCAACACGGGATGGCAGCTTTAGCAAAGAGTCTGCTTGGCAGAGCTGGCAGCAACTGTAGGGAGGCGGCGCCCTCCTTTCCATCCACCAAGGTAGAAAGGGTTGGATGGTGTGCAATACCGTGGGCTGCCAACCTTGGGCAGCAATGAAGGTCCAAACAAATAAATAAAAAATATATATATATAGGTATGCTTGCCGCTCAGAAGAGACAAACAAACACTGAAGCTAGAGGATCCCCATTGCCAAATATGGCACCAAAAATTCAAGCAAGTCACCCAGCAACCCTCGGTCTTTCGCCAGTTCCATGCCTCACATCTAAGGCCCATCTTGCAGCACGAATCACCTGAGTGATGGCACGGATCACTTCGGCTCTCGACAGTTCTTCCAAGGTCATCATTTTACGCTTGTATGCCATGTGACTGCAAGCTTCCTTGGAGGCAAATGCTTGTGGGTCATCCGCTTCGGTCAGGCCCAAGCACTGTGCATCCTCGCCCCACTGACCCGTTTTTTCCAACAGGTGTGCACAAAGCTCGGGTGTGCACGCAAAGAGTGTCACAGCCTTTTGATGCGTACTTCTGTCATGTTCAAAGGCTGGCCTCTAATGGCTGGAACTCACATGTGCCAGTTGCCTCACACAGGACTCGTGCTTGTCATATCTCTTCATATGTCTTCATACTCTTTTTGCCCTGATTGTTTCATATTCATGTCATTTCCTGTGACTGGAATGGGCCAAATATGGCAAAATGGATCAAAATGGTGCGCCTCGTGTTCTTGACCATCTGGAATGAGGTCGTCGATGCCAAAGCGGATCTCGATACCACGACCGCCCCAAGCACCTCAATTCGTCAGACTCAAAGAGGGCGACCGCCGCAGCATGGCCATGTGCCACGGGGCGACCTTCTGGCTTCCGCACGAAGGCCATACGATCCTTGAGAGGAAAATGGATGAACAAGGGAACGAATGAAAACGGTCGAAGTTGGCAAACGCAAATGAAGACTTAAAGAAGCTGCCCTCCATAGGGTCCCAGTCCTGCTTGGCAGCAAAGGCTTTCAGCTTGGTAGCAGCTGTTGGCATATCGAAGCACTGTGGCATTCCACCGACCTGGATCGAACGGAAGGGCAGCTGTTGGTCCCACACGCCAAAGGTGGGCGACGTCGGTTCCACCGATGCTCACCTGGCTCGCCAGCTTCCCACTGACCTGCCAGCGGTTCAGCCTTGGATCAAGTGGTACGAAAGTACCCACGATGAGGGCAGTTGAGAAAAATCTGTCGTGGTCTGGGTCAAGATGGGTCAAGAATCCAAAGAGTAACTTCTGTGCTGCTGGGTGGCGCTTCATAGTACCTGGCCACAGGTTGTGCCATTGAAAGATTAGAGAGAACACAAACGTGACAAACAGTCAGTTTCGATGTTTGTTTCATTATACCCTTCTATACATCTCAACTCTAGCGCCAAGCTGCACGCGGCATTGCTGGTCCTGGTGCAACCGGGATGTTTTGGTTACACATCTTGAACCACTCGTGAAGGTTAAGCGGGCTTGTGGCCTTCTCACCCAGAACCTCTTGGAGCTCTGGCATGTAGAGAAGCTTCTGCTTGCTCGCGTGCAGTCTCCACAAATCCTGACAAATCAAGCTGGACATCCAATCCTGAAGCGCGCGAGGTGTGTTATGCATCTGACTCTCTTGTCCTTGGAGGGAATCAAATCTGCATAGTCGTTCCTGGTCACCAGACGTGTTGCACTGACGTAAAACAGCCAATCGAAGGAGAGCTTCTGGTGAATGAAAATTTGCACTCTGGTGGGCAGAGCCTATTTATTTTGCCAACCAAGAGGCGAAGTATATGCAAGTCCCAGATTCCACCTGGCTGAGACTTAATTAATGTGCCGGCTGCTTGCGATCTGAGCTTGCAAGCATGCACATCCTCGCAGTCCCAACCCAGACCGTCTGACATCGCAACTGCCTCTCCCCAGGCCGTGCCATGAGTAGGCCAAAAAAAGCTGGCAGCGTGCGAAGCATATCCGTGCTGACCTCAGGTAGTAAAATCACGGCAGCAGTTTGTGTGGACGCACGCAAAAATCGGTTGTCCACCTTCCTCTCATGTGTGGACCAGTCAGAGCATGATGCATCATGTCAACCATGCGTTCATCCGGCCAGGTCGCAATGTCAGCTGCCGCGTCTATGTACAATGCATCTGGCCTATCGAGCCAGCGAGCGGTTCTGAAACAAAACAGCCAAAGTCAGTCTGGCCCACGAGGAACAACTCAGAGCTGCCTGTAAAAGCCGACGTTGAAGACAAAGCGCATCGGTCTTCCTGATCAAAAATTTAAAGACTTGACTTGTGGATGTAGGTTTGAGATGGTTTGAGGGTTCATTATGGTTTATTTCATTTTATTTCTATTTCTGGAGTCTCGCGGTAGTACCACCATGAGGATCGAAATCTGCCGGAGGCCTGTGTCAGCTTCCAGCGGCACCAGGTCCTTCTGCATCCAGTAACCTGCCAGCTACGCAACACAGCAAAAAGAGAAGAAAACCTTCAACCCAACCTTCTTCCACATCAGCTGCTTCCTTTGGAAGTAGGCTGAATTGCATCCTGTGCAAAATCCTGTCAAGGCAAACGTGTCCCTTTGTCAAAAGGGCATATCCCAAGATGTCCCAAGATGTCCCAAGCTATCTGACTCCACTTCCCGAGGCCAGATTCGCTTCTCCAAATCACGTGGTGGTAAGACGAAAAGCTGTGGGAGCGAATGCCTAAAGGTTGGCCATTGGGAGCTCAACCAGTCCAGGATCGTGTAGTTGCTCTGCATGGCACCTCGTTACATTGAAGTGATCATGGTCACCAACATCACCTGATAAGAGTCCAGCTATGACGATGACCATAACTTCCAACTACTTCAATACAGTGGATTGATTGAAATTGTCATTGTGCCCTCAACCACAGTGTGGCCAAGCGGCGAAGCGAAGCCTCCTTGGATGTGAGCCCAAGATTTCTACTTGTCGAACTCTTGACATGCTATGTCATTTTGGTATACATTATTCTCTGCCCCTGCCTTCCCAAGGTGCCTTGCCTCAATACTTAATCGGGCATGCGCTTTTTCACGACGCGTTCATTTCTGAAACAAAGCAGATTGAATTGAAACTCTTCTGCGCAGCAGGCTGGAGAAACACTTGCGGGCCCAACCTGCGGATAATTAATGTACAAAGTGGCCACCTACGACAGTTGCGACATAAACATTGCAGTGTGGCCTGCCATCATTTTCAATGCCCGTTCATCAGGCCCGTCGAAGATTACTGTCTTGCCCTGCGGATTCAGCTTATTCAGCAGCTGTATCACAGCCACAACCTTGTCTTCTACAACCACTGGGGCGCAAAGCATAGACTTGATCTCATAGTCTGAGTTTGTTTTTCGGGCCCATCTGTCGTCTTTCGTGACATCGGGTATGTTGACCATTTGGTTGTTGCAGGCTACCCATCCTGCTATGCTGCTTTCACTCTTGGGTATTCGCAAACTGCCATCGACACCCGAAGCGAAGGTGCTCCAAAGCTCATTGCAATCCTCCTCCACAGCCCAAAGTGTTGCCCGATCACACTCCAGGGCAGCCCGGCCATCCTCCATGACGGTTTTCATGATCTTCGCCAACTCCTTCTCCTTCTTGGCCCGCTCAGCAGCTTTCAGGTCGATGATGAGCAAGTTGCCCATGCCAATGAAACACCCGAGAATCACACCACAAACACCACCCAAGGTCGATGTCCTTTTCACACTGCCCAATCGCTGCTGGGCATCTGTCAAGCCAGGCAGTGGAAGGCCCAGTTTGAGAGCTGCTGCTTCAATGGTACCTCCAAAAGCCACTCCGCAGGTATCGCTCACCACCTGACCCATGGCTGCAGCTGCCATGGTGGGCAAACCAAGTGTTACCCCTAAGGTGTTGTCAATGGCATCACCGGCGTAAAGGAGGACACTCTGATCAACGATGCCGAAAGCCACAAAGGGTACTGCGGAGGTGATGAAAAGCCTCCGCATCTGGAGTTGCGTCGGCTTCGGAACCTCACTTGCACCACTTGAAAACCGCACCCCTCCGACCCGCCCAAAGAGTCGAGGTGGAGCCAGGCTCAGGCGCCGAGCCAAAGCCCTGTGGAAGATCGCCATGGAAGATATGCTGAAAGAGTGTGGCTTGAGCAAGGACACCGGCGCTTGAAGGCGGGAGGCTCGCAAAAGACACCCAAATCATGGACATTGCTATATATTATATATATTATACACACTTATGCGTCTTATACGACTCTGTGTAGCTGGTGACCCCCTCAATCACCAGCTTGCCAATGAACATTCCAGGGGGGAATCAACCAAATGCGCCCAGGAGTTGTCATTACTGAAGGCGTTCGTCTTCCGTCGTCGTCCTCAAATCACTTTGCCAAGGCTCGACCCGGGCTACAAAGGATCGCTGCGCTTCCCAGTCGGAGCGCCGCTGCGCATTTTCGCCCAAAGAAGCCCAGGCACAAGCAAGGGCCATGGAGCAGCCTGCAGCTTTCGAGTCAAACAAGCATATCAAGGCTTGGCAGGCTCAGCATGCCCCAAAGGCAAAATGAAAAGGGTCTAAAGGTCAAAAAACATAGATTAACACAGAATAAATAATAAGCTCAAAGAAAGGCTCGGCATGTAATTGACATACGGTTCATGTCAATCATTTCATCCCAAGAGAGCTGCCCCCACGTCCCACAAGGAGAAAAACATGTCTTTCATTGTCATGGTTGTCATGGCTGCCAGACAGAGATATTGACATAAATATTAACGACGAATGCGCTGAGTTGGGATTGTCTGAAACCCCCTAGTCTTCCCTTTACAACTTTTAGCTGTATAATTTGTTGTTCTCGTCCTTAGCGTTTCAGGTCGACTGCTTTGAGGAACTGCTACATGTGTAGTGTACATTCGTGTGCACGTTATGCATGTGTGCTGTACTGTTGACATTGATTTCTGTGCAAAAAAGAGCCGATGAAAAACAATCACGGTTCTTTTCCTTCAAATCTGAGCTCGCAGTTGGGTCAGTTCTTAATTCGTGCTCCTTGCAGGTGCCTCAGATGCCATGCAAACGTCACGTGGAAACTGGAGTCGAAAGAAAATTCAAACATCGCAGCTCTTCCATCAATCTTGTAACTGGCGATGAATCACTCAGGTTGTGAACCGCTAGGAGGGGCTGTTGCAATTCATATTTCTACACGCATCTTCCTTCTGCATGACCAAAAAAAGGCACCACAACCCACCCTATGCAGGGAACAATTTACTATATACCAGGAACAAGTTTCTGTCTCTGGAACTTCACACCAACGTTTGCAAATGTTTGCGGCGCATGGGCCAGTTTACCTGCCCCACCACAATGCGCCGCGCATTGTGGTGCTGCAGGTCAACTGGCCCATGTGCATGCAAGTCTAAAAACCAACAAGTCAACGATGTTAGCTGGAGGAAGCTTCGGAAGCTCTAGACTCTAGACTTTGTGTATAAATAGGTGCGTATATGTGTGTATATACATGGATATGTTATCGTGATGGTTTGATAGCCTTTTGCGGGCATCGGCATCGAGCCAAAATGAGCTTTGTCTAGCTCTGTTAAATTTCTGGATGAACCTGACAGCCCACGCCTAAATTGATGGCGCGATGAGGCGGCCATATATGGCAAACCAGTGAGCCATCCCAGAATAAGTAAACATGCCAACAACCCCTTGTTCCGCCGAGCTTCGAAACTTGACTCAGAACTCCTAACAAATTCGAGCGGAACTTCACCAACTATCAACCGTCTTTGCGACAAATTAACTGTTTAGGAAAACATGCAGAACAAACCACGCAGTCAAAGGCCACTGGTTTCTTGCATTTTGGAAGTGCAAAGAAACATCAAAAAAGAAAAACAACTCAGGCCTCCTCTGCTCCTTCAGGCTCTGCCTTGGCCTCTGTCGCCGCAGCTTCCGGTGCAGCTTCCGGTGTCGGTGCTGGTGCTGCGGGTGTCGGTGCATCCGCCTTGGGCTCTTCTGGTTTGGGCTCTGCAGGCTTCGCTGGTGTCTCTTTTGGAGGATCCTTCGCATCCTTGGCATCTCCCTGGCACACTATATAGTGGAAAGCATGTCGAAAAATATGTAGCCCCTGCAAAAAACAGCAATAAAATTACTGTGACGTACTAGTAGCATCTAGTAGTGTTGCGAAGCAATTCAGGAGCTGGAAAAGGGAGATGGTCTTGCATGCCATGTTACTCTGGTGAGTGTGTGTGTGTGTGTTCAACCGACAATACGCCCAATTGGCTCGGCACTTGGCCTCGCTTCCTTTTGCGCCTTCTTGATCCTTGCCCTCTGCCTGGCTAATTTGTCAGGAGCTGAGCTCAATCATTCGTGGTCAACCCCACACTCCCGCCTTCAGCGTTTTTGGAAGAATGTACCTGAGCATCGTCTGGTTTTCCTTGAAGCTGCCTTCTGGCAGTGAAAGCGATACCGAAGCAAGGGGCACCAGAACCATGCTGGGAGAATCAAGACAAGCAAGAAGACTATCCAAACCTCGGTCAGTGATTTGCATAGCTCCCTATCATGAGCACGCACCTTGAGAGCCAAAACTTCTGGCCAAGACACCATTGCTGCTGTTCGCCTGCAAGCTGCTGAACATTACCGAGCATGTTGAGCATCAGCACGGAAGAAACCACCAAACGAGCAAGAAACATCCAAGTGACATCAAGTGACTGAATGGCATGTGAAAGGATTCTTCTTGACATATATATATATATCTATCTATCTATCTCTCTCTCTCTCTTTTGCAAATTTGTTCTCCAAGCCTTCTGCTTTCAAAAAAACGTGAACGCGTGAATGGCAAATCAAACAATACCTAACAAGTATAGTACAGACATGCCTCCCACCTCAAAGCCTTTTTTCCGGATGCCCTGAAATTGCTCCCCAGTCATGGCATGTCACGCCTGCTGCTAGGGTTGGAGACCCGTGAGGTGAACGAGTCAACCAGCCCAACATAGATCGCCTAGGCCGGAAAAAGGTGGCCGACACCGAGAAGCCGTCTCGAAGTTCCTTGTTCGAACGGGCCCGTGGAAAGGAGCTTCCTTGGGCATGCTGACTATTATGTTTACTGCATTTGCCACCCCTTTTCGGGGGGAGCCATATCAGAGTCTTGAAGTTCCATCTTGCAGCTCCGCAGCCATTTCCCAGCAAAAGCCAGTCTGGAGCACGAAGGCATTGTTGAGTTCAGTGAAGTCCTACGAAGTTGGTCAGCCGCATGTAAGTTTCTCTACAATTATTCATGCTTGCCTTATCTGTTCTGCTAAGCCGTTGCAACTACTGGATCTCTGGGGCCACTGCCGACACATTCTTCCCCATGCGTTTTGCAATGAAGATCAGCCCACTCAAGGCCGCATAGACAAGAATCTCAGCAAATGACCCGGTATTGTCAACGTGTTCAATGCGTTTCTGCACCTCCAGGATATGTTTATATACTATTTTTTGCAGTACTACATTCTACTGCTCATTCTCTTCTGTGTTCATGAGCTAACACGGAGCTATGGTCGCACTTCACACCAGACAAGGTACAGTGGAAGCAATTGCCTGCGACCTCAGCAACAAGGTAGGGCAGCATCGATAGCATTGAGCTGCACAAGGAGTAGCACTTGACAAACTATAAAGGGCTTGCATTCGGATTAGAAGCAAACATGTCAGGAGACCCTTGCTCATAGGCATTTCCTTTTGCCGCGCTACTTTGAGAGCACTCTGGCTCAGAATGGATCTTCAAAGCAGTAGCGTGAAGCCTTGACGACTTCGGACAACGCAGCTCCCTTATCTTCATTGATAACTGTAAAATCCAAGCTATTAGTCAAAGCCCACTCCATATCAGAAGTCACTTGGGCGCGCAAGGACTTCAACTGCTCTTGAATCATCTCACTGTCAAGTCCTTTCTCCTCCAATCTGCGCCTGTTTCGCTCCATGATGTCATCCAGCGACTGCATGGAGACCCAAACCGTCACCAGTCGCATCTCTGTTTTCTTCTCAGGGAAGGCCGCCGACAAGGCTCGGTCAAAGCTATAAGACAGGATGAATCGAGCAGTCGGAGGGTCCACGTCCAGAATACAAGCTCCATGCTCCTGAGCTGTGGACAAGACAGACATGGCAGGCAGGCCAAGCTCCACCTCTTCCAAGTCATCTCCTGCAAACATCTTCAGAACTTTCACGTGAAGCACTTAGTAAGTGTGCAGCAATTAGCTGCTTGATGTTGCGTATTATTGTGGGAACAATCACTCATCCTGAAACCCTGCCTGCAGGCCGGTAAGAAACTGCCAAGGAGCGCGAATCCTCAAGTGCTTGAAAGTCGCTCAGAGCCACAAGTCTTTGTTGCGAACTGCCCATGCTAGAGCATGGCTTGGTGGCCACCCATTCAGGTTCTTGAAAGCGGTGATCCTTCTTCATAAGCTCTTTGGCCAATGTACTTTTCCCACATCCTCTGGGACCTGTGATCAGCAGAACTGGCACAACTTCCACATCCTCTGTGTCATCTTTCTCCTTTGCATCCGCCAACTGCAGAGCCACACCCAAAGATCCAGGCACTGCCTTCATTAAGGTCCGTGCTTCGGGCAGAGTTTCGACCAACCCGCGGAGGGGCAGGACGGCACTAACTGACGCATAGGCCAAGAGGGCACCGAAGAGCATCGCAGGTGAAGAGACCACCCCAGTGAAGTTCACTCCAGGCTCCCAGCTCACCTTTTGCCACCATTCTTCTAGCCCTATGATGGAAGCGTGTTGAAGACCCAGAGCTACAACCATCCCAAAGGGTAACAAGAATCGAAGAATCCTCAGAGGATTCGTAAAGCTAAATGGATTGGAATCTACCGTAATCACACTGACATCCTGATAGAGCAGGACCAGGTAGATGGTCCCGAAGACTGCTCCTACTAGCCATCCTTCTGAAGCTGCTGATCCGTTGTTAGCATATGCCAAAAGTGCACCTAGTAGCCCCACAGCTCCCGCATCCAGCAAGCTCTGCCGCTTCATCCGCTCATACTCCGCGACCCGCTGGGCCCTGCGTGCCGCGGCAGCCACTGGAGCGTCTCCAGACGCTCGAAGCAGGCACTTGCGTGCCCGTGGCGACTGCCATTGAGACTTACAGGCCAAAGCAACCAGAATCGACGAAACGCCTCGACCACAGGTGACACATCCTCCAGGGTTTGGCTTCAATGTCTGAATTCCAAAGAAATCAGGAGTGGTCCCCCGTGGCCCCAGGGTCCAAGTGGGGGTGTGATGCGACCCCTTCCACACAGAACCGTCCTGATCCACCTGGGTTTCTGCCAAACTGAGAACGGCCTGGGCATCTGCGTGGAGATGCTACTCGTGCCAGCGGGGTGCAAACAGCGTCCAAGCCCATCAGCGTCATGGTCCACGTCAGGCTGGAGAGGAGGCTTTAGGCCCTTTGGGCAATACGACTCTGCTGTACATGTCTCGGAACTCTCCATATAGCTGTGTGTCTGTGTGTGAGGCTTGTGTTTGTTTGTGTAACATGTGGGGGTCGATCATTGTTCCTGGCAACCACAACTATTACTTATTTGCATTCCAGTAGTTATATTTGTTTGGATATGCATACATACAGCATTTGGTCCTCTCTTGCTTTCTGCCATGCCATGTCCCATTGCCGCCATCGCATCCTGATCCCAAAGTTTCAGCTTTCGAGCAACTCTTCCCTCAGAGCTTCAGCGTCCTCCTCCCTCTGTGACACTTCAAAAGCTGGGGGCATGCTGAGACACTGGCACTAGGGCTGCATGCTTCGCTGAAGTGTGGCTACCGTCTGGGCTCTGCAGGAAATACCAGAAAATCCACTGCACCTTGGGCCGCTTGGGCCTCCACCCCCAAGGCATTGCATTTTCACAGTTGCACTTTTCGGAGCAACGAGCTCGCAGGTTCCGCACATGCCAAATATTGCCTGACGCCTGCGTCTGCTGCTGTCTGTCACTATTGCAAACATGTCGCCCAATACATCAGCAACCAGCCCATGGTCATCCCACTCGATTCAGTGAGAGCTCGATAGATTCGACGGTAGACAGGCTTCCTGCACTTCCCAGCATGCCCAAAAAATTAAGAATGTTCATTCTGTTTACATGTTAGCACGCGCTCCTCTCTGGATTGTCTGCGAGTGGCCTCACCTTGTACATCATCAGCGAAAATGTGATGATTGACAACACCAGTGCCACGCCAAGGTAAATCCTTGGTGCATCATTCAAAAGCAGTGACGACACAACTCCACAACCACGACATTTCCGAGCACATTCCAAGTTAACTTGCACGACGTACAATGCACAACTTTGGCACACAGAATACTGCGTCTCAAACGCATGCCGAAAACACAATTATGTACACAACCGTACAATGCACGGAAAGCTCTGAATGATGCCAGGCTACAAGTTGTTCATTGTGAGTGCATGAGCTCCTTTCTTGCCTTAGACTAACATCATAAGCCGTTGAAAGAACCTCCTGTTGTCTCCCGAGGAAGCGCACAGCGCACACTGAGGATTGTGATTGTGCTTATAAATGTTTAATGTGTGTATGTGTATGTATATATGTGTGTGTGTGTGCAGTATATAAAGTGTATACAGTATCAGTGTACATGTTTGTGTATAGATTTATACAAAACGATGGAAATATGCGCTGAAGACTGAAGAGTCCAGCCCTGTGGCAGGGCATGAGATTGCTAAGTATGCCACTGCCAGGCAAAAAGCCAGTGACCAGGAAACGAATCCACATAGACCTCAAAAGTTGACAAGGGGAGGCCATTCTCACATCAAAGTGAGGACAGTGGGACGCAGCTGCTGCATGATCCGAAAGATCTTGGCCGTCAAGTCACGTGAGGAATCCAATCTGAAATCCAGCTGCATCAATCTGTTCAGCCTTCACGCCATGACATGAATCTGTCCACGCCCGGCACAACACGGAACTGGCCACGGCGCTTGCACAAACAGGCACCGTAAACAGGAAGCTCTCCAACCGCTCTCCTCACGGTCTGGCTCATATGGTGCATCGCTCCGTCCGTACTGAGAGACCCTTGGAAGGCACGCCCGTCAAACTGACCAACAGAAACGTTCAGCTGAGCTCCAAACCTGAATGCCACAGCCAGCAAGGCTGCAAGCACGGCAAATGAAAGGATGATACCGAGAAGATAGAAGCCAGCACCATCTCAGCGTGAAGACAGTAGGGGATTTTTCTAACGCTGCTTGCACTTGCACACACCACTCCAAACGCAAAACACAACCCAGGCAAAAGGAAACAGTCTATGACCCTTAAGCATTTGGACAAAACTCATGCTTTTGACATGCCAAGGATCTGCTGAAGGGCTCCATTCGAAGGAAGTTCGCAAAACCTTAGTGGATTCGACACTCTCCATGTGAAGCTTGTTCCGACACACCTTCCAATCCCACTCCCTGTTTGTCTTCATGATAACGCGATCCAAAACAGTAAAGAAACAGTCCGATCCAGCGAAGCCGATGAGATAGGCACCGCAAACCCGCAGCACCGGAACTGTCCTCGGGCCGCATGGCATCGTCTCCAACTTGGACCTTCAGGGCTTCAGACGTCTTGGTCGTCTCAACGCTGATGTGCTGCAAGCCCACTCAAATGGTGACAGTGTACCCAAACTGTGACAGTGTCCTCATTATATACGAGTGTGTATATATATATATGTGTGTGTGATATATATATATATACGCTATTAGGTTGGAGGCCATTGCTATCAGGTTGGAGGCCATCACTATAACTTAAACCAAGAAACACTGTCACATGTGTCAGAACAACCCCGCAACTGAAAACTCCATGCTGACTTCCTTTCCGGCAAGCCTCAAGAGCGGAAGACCTAGCCTCAGTTAATGGCAACAATACAAACACAAACAATCCCACATTCACTCTCCATGAGCGACTCTAACTCATAGGATAGCAGAGACACACCAAACAGGGGAAGATGACTAATGAGGCATGCATAGGACTTTGCAAACTTCCATATGCATGTGCCAAAGACACGGCGGTTAAAGCCAGGCAGCATTAGAAGCATGAATTTCATAAACGCCAAGATATCACCCAGAAGGGCAAAGTCAGCTGCCCTTAGATCCAAAGGTAAGAATCGATCGAGTCTTATCCAAAAACTCCAGAACATCTGGCACGGATGTCTTTTCCAGGGCCCGTGGGGAATCGGATTGCTTCCAATGAATCCTGTCCGTACCTGCTTGTACTTTTATCAAGTTTCCCTAACAATCTAGGACCAAATCATTAGTGCAAGCGCTGCTTCCTTGAGGGCCGGGGGGAGCTTCCTTGAAGAAGCGAGGCAGGGCCACGGGCAAAAAAAGCCAATTCTCGCCCGTTCTCGGGACTTGGCTCTGCCCGTTCTCGGGTCGCGGCTTAGATCCCAAGAGAACCTTCCAGCTCTTCTTGAGAGCCATGAAGATGAGAACCTGTGCGGTAGGAAACCCACCGGGAAGGGACCCGGAACCCAGGAAGGAGAACACATGCGGGAAACAGGAGAAGCTAGACCAGGAATCCAAGGAAAAATAACAATTTTCGAGCTCGTCAAGGAGTTGCAAAGCTATGGCCATAGAACAGCTCTCTGTGGTCATCCAATTCTCTGTTCCGTTTCCTAGCTGAGCAACCAAATTGCGAACTTGCTGCAATGAAATGAAGAACTAAATCGTCAAGCAACCGTGCTGAACAGTGCAATGTTCCCACTTAGCAATTGCCATGTGCTGGTCTGCAAGTCCTTGAGGGCACTTGAAACATGCGAGACAGAAAAGTATTGCCTTGGCAGGCAGTTTGCCCATTGTGGCGTTTGGGGCTGCTGTGCTACAAATCTAGCAGTTTCCTCTCCCTCTCTCATAACATTGGAAACGTTGTGCGCATCTTCGTCCAAACAGTGATGGTCCTTGCTGATGGGCTGGTTCACCTGAGGGGCAAACTGCGGCGTGTCAAATCATTTTGGGGCGGTCATCCAAAGACAACGATAAGGATCAAAGGATCCTGGCAATCCACATCCCAACCAATAGCAAGCTTGTCTACATGCACTCAATAAATGAACAGAAAGGAGTCGCTCGCAGCGGTGCGAATCAACAACTTTTTGCCAGTGTCTCCTCACAACTTGTGTGAGGTTTGTTTCGCACTGTCCCTTCACCCAAATCTTTGTCAGCAACTGTGTTTTCCAGACAGTTTGCACAATTGCAATATTGGAAAATTGAATTTTGAAGGAACCCCCCCACAAAAAAGACAAAGAAACCACTAGAAAACAATCTGCACAAACCATGGGGGGAGGGTGGGGAAGGGCAAAGTGCTGTCACAATTGTGCTGAACATACCAAGGCCACCAAGGTGCCAGGTAGAATAACGTCATGCCCACCAACAGTGGCCCAATTAAGGCCAGGCCAATACCAAGGTTTGCAGAGGCTGCCTCTTCCTTCAGGCTTCGAAGAAACTCCTAAGTTGGCACAGAAACCAACTGAAACGGCGTACGGTCACAATCAGCACATGGCTGGCATGGAAGATGCAGTGCTGGTGAGGCTCTTCGGTTTTCCCCGTATTGTTGGATAAGATTCTGACCTGGGATTTGGTCAAAGCATCAAGCCTCAAGCGGCCTCAAGGCATCACATTGTGTTTATACAGTTTTGCCAAGCTTCCATCGTGCCAGGGGCCTGACTCAAATCCAGCACAAAAGCGGGACAATGATCATTAATCATACCATGATGATCGCTCATTGCGTGCACCCATCCTGCTCCACGTATGCTTCTTGTTCACCCACATGATGTCGCATCATTCGCCTCGCCGGCTCCTTGGAGTCACAACACTGAGATGCCCTGAGTGATCCATTGAAGCCACCATGAAGTGTTGCCGGCAGGGAGCCACAGGAAACTCCCACATGTCACCATCAGCACTCCTTGGCTCATTGCTCAGAGCTGTTCCAACATGTCTTTAAACAACTCATGTCTGAGCCTTTAAGTTGGATCACTTGGCTATTCATCCGCGGGCGGCTCGTGTCGACTCCTTTTGCAGCTTCGCTTCAACTGCACGGCATGGGTCGCAGCTTCCACCATCAAAGGCAGAAGGGAAAGGAGCCATGGCCTGGCCTCATGAACACCAAACAGACAAGTTCCGCACTGCTCTAAGGGTTGATAGACCGGTGGATTCAATAGGTATAGCGGCCCCCGAATATCTATTGTTTCGGTCTTCATGTGGGTTCTGGCAGAAAGCCTAATCACAAATCACACACAAACAACGTTTCATGGCATTGGGACTTTGAACATGCCATCTTGCAAGTGAGATTCCATGCAGGGCGCTCTCTCAGATTGAAGTCACACCTCAGGACATGGTCATAGGCCACTGCTACTACAAAGACCTGGACACACGAAGACGAGGTGTGCGAGGTTTGCCGAGACGCTCGGTATGAAGGGCGGACTTTGCAAATGCACGCTAAGTAACAAATGGCCATGAATGGCCCCTTGAGCCAAAAGCCACTGATTCATGGATAACACTGCATATGCAAAAATATGGGACATGGTATGCCTGATTGTGTCGTGTTCCTTGACATTGCAGGGCATCGTGTGGAGGAGCCATGACAGTTGGCGAGCCGCTGTGTGGGTCATGGAGGGGACGTGTCGAAGCATGGCCCACCCCTTTGGTTTCAGGAATTCCAAGAGCTTTCTGGTGAAACCCGTTCTTGACCTCCCGGTCTGTCCTTGCATAGTGTGCAAAGTCTTCTTCCAGCACAGCTTATTGCCAGAAGCGCTTGAAGAGGGAATGTGCAGTATGCCATCATCCCAGCATCGCCAAGCTTGCCTAATGTCGATGGGCAGCAAGCAGGGTTGTTTTATGACCGAGGAACGTCATTGCTATCTCCATACCAGGAGGCATCTTTGGAGCGCTTCTAAAGGAGCAACTTGGCTTCGATGTGTGGACTGGTGGGGAAGAAATCTGGCGGCCATCAAGAACATTGACAGGTTCATAATACTGGTCCAAGAGTTGATTAGGATTGCAATTTACGTACGGCTGGGAGGAGTGATACTTCTTGAGGATAGTCTTGAGACTGTGGATCAACTTCATTGATGAGAGGCTTGGCTGTAGCTGGCGAGGTTGGTGAAGCTACGCTCGGACAGATTGGTGAGATAGAAGCAGGACGGGGCCCAGGCCAGTGGTGCCAGGAGCGACCATCGAGGTGAGGTGAGATGATTGGTTGGTACTGAGCAGGTGGACCGTGCGGTTGTCAACACTCTAGAAACTTGTTTCTCATTTGCATGCCATCAAGCCTTTGGACTAGCCAGATCAATGGTGCCAGCAGAAGTCGTAGCGTTGGCGAAGCTTCGTGGAGGTGGCAGGATGTGGCAGGAGAGCGCTCAGTGGGAGCATTGAGGGATTCAGCTCCCTTGATCATGCAGGCGTCCCTCCCAAAATAACTCGAGTGTTTGAAAGATCTGCGGAAACTGCATGGTCACTGCGGACTCTTCAGTCCTTATGAAGAAATGCCGGCAACCTGAACACACAACTTGAGTGAAAAGGATGTTGCAAAATACATGGGTCGAAGTGGAATATGTTTGCCATTCCAGTCCGGAGATTCATATTTGCATTCTGCTCCAGTGCTGTCGGAAGAATTGGGAGAACTGCTGAATATCGTCTCGTCCAACTGTCCAACCTGGTGAGGTTGCTTCCTGGCGTTGCTCCCTGGGTTCCAGCCGCTCCACTGCAGCCTGGAACAAAAATGGAAATATCCAAAGGAGTCATCTCTGGTGCATAGAACACGTGGTCAAACAACTCTCTGCTTGTGGCAGGACGCTGGGAAACCCTCTTTGCTTGTGGCAGGACGCTGGGAAACCCCGTTCGAAGTACTGTGCTGCGCAGCTGAGTCTGCGACAATCACCTTTCGTGCCAGGGCGTCCGGGATGCTACGCCGCTCGCTGAGGCGACGGAAAAGCTCCAAGCGCAATCTCTGCAAATGCCTCGGCCGGCGGAGAAGGGTCAGGACATGTCCCCGACACGCTGGAATTGATCGGCCCCCCCTTGCTCTTCTGAACTGATTATTGAAGCCACTCTTCGACCACAACCTGAAATATTGAAGCTCATAAAATGAATTCAAGTATACAGCTCACTGGACAAGGATGCTAAATAATGCCAATCGCATCCAATCGCCCCCCCATGAGTAAAGGGGACTGATAGTCAACCCATGCCGACCCCTACGACACAGTATTATGCAACCAGCATCATATAAGGTCACACTACTGGCTTCAGCCCTCATGCACATTCCAAGGTCCACACTCTTGGACTGGCTTCTCTCCAAGACATTGGTTGTCCATTGGCCTCGCCTTGTATCCGCGCAACGAACATCATGAAAGCACACCGCCAAGCAACTCACATCTTCCTGGTGACATTGCTCACTACTCATGCCACTACTCACACAATCCGGACCTACAGCATGCTCATGTGGCACATGCGCATGCAGAAGCGCCTGACCAGAGAGCAAGATCACTTCAGAGAGCCGGGCGAGGAGTCCAAACATCGGCCAGCCCTTAGCAGTCTTAGCAGCTACTCAGCTACGGCACGTCACCCGTCTGGCACCCACAGAAGACATTGGGAAGACATCGATGGCTTCCAACGGGATCGTGCTCACATATGCTCGCATGCACCTGGGTGAGTGATGTGATCCTCCAGAGTCTGAGCGTGTGACTGAGCTCATAAGGTCTCCAAAGCTTCCCAACTTCTGCAAGCGGCCGGCTGCAACCCAAAGCATCCCATATCCTGAGCAGAAAGAGCAGAGTTTGCACCATTTCTTTCCGCCCCTATGATGCCCAGCTCAGAAAGGGCACCCCTTTTGCGGCTTGAGGCAGGCGAGGGTCGCTCGCCGGGAGTGAGGAAGCTCATCGCAAAGAGGCTGCTTGCCACCTGACCAGCACTCAGCGAAAATATACACCATGTCAGCAGCTTGTTGCTTGTGACATGGGCACCACTGGCATTGGGCCCCCCTTAGACAAAACACTCATTGGATATCGGATTTCATCGATTCATCCTTCTACAGAGGAGCAAGGACAAAAAGGGGCACGTCAGCAAATCAACAGAAGCCCCTAAGGAGTTACAGTAGCCCGCTTCCCCTGCAAAGAGGCCGTGCATGGCACCAACACAGATCGAAAGATGTGTCTAATTCTGCTCTGAACTGCATACTACACTTGCAACGCCCGGATTCAAAGGCGAGTTGGCGAGTTTGAAAAAGGAATATCCGCCGACCCCACACCATGGGGTGAGGCGTGACTGTCGATGTTAGCCGTAGCCTTAAGCCTTAGCCTTAGCACTAGGCCTTAGCCTTAGCCAGCCTTAGCCTTAGACTTAGACTTGGACGTAGCCTTAGCCTTAGACCTTACCTCCCCTACTCCTCCGGACCTTTGTTGCAGTGACGAATCTCGACCCAAAAGCGACGTGATAGCTACGTGATTTGACGTGATTGCGACGTGATTACGACCGGAATTGACGTGATTTCGACGTGATGGCGACCTGGATTGTCCAAGATTCTGCCATCCCAATTGATTTACATCTTGGGGCACCCTCTCCACCCGCGCGGGAAAATAAGCACGGTCCAAAATGGTCCTGGGCTCGAATCCCGGGCTGGTCGCGGCGTGGTCCCGGCCAGTGCCCTTGCTTTTTCGTAGATTTTGTCACGTTTTCTGTTGGATTTATGGGATTTTCAAAGGCTTTTCTAGCATTTTCCTAGGAATGCTCTAGGCTTTGTCTAGATGTTGTTATGTTTTCGCTGGATGCTTTTCCAAGAATTTTCTAGCGCATCGCTTGCATCTAGCATTTTCCTAGGAATGCTCTAGGCTTTGTCTGGATTTTGTTCTGTTTTCGGCTGGATGCTTTTCCTAGAATTTTCTAGCGCTGACTCTTGTTTTTATTAGGTTCCCAGATTTCCCCCAAAAATTGGTAACCTTTTGCTAACCTATGGAACTTTCAAAGGCTTTTCCAATATTTTCCTAGGAATGCTCTAGGCTTTGTCCAGATGTTGTTACGTTTTCGGTTGGATGCTTTTGCCAGAATTTTCTGGCGCTTCCTCTTGTCTTTAGGTTCCCAGATTTCCCCCCAAAATTGTTAACCTTTGGCTAACCTATTTTATGCCAGTGTTCCCGGCCAATGCCCTTGATTTTTCCTAGGAATACTCTTGGCCGCACTTAGATTTTGTTACGTTTTCGACTAGATGCTAGGAATGCTCTAGGCTTTGTTTATTCGGGAGGGTGCTTTTCCAAAAATTTTCTTGCATGTCCTCTTGACTTAGGTTCCCAGATTTGCACCAAAAATTGTTAACCTTTGGCTAGTATGCCAGTGTTCCCGGCCACACACGGGGCCCCTTAGACAACGACAGGATTATCGTGAAAAAACAGAGACAGTCCTCTATCATGGAACCCACCTTTGCAGTTTGGCCTGTGAGGGGTCCTCGGCGATAGAGTGTGCCTGGACAGAGGGACATAGACGCGGACTCGAACGCATCATCATCACCACGGGGTTCATGCAAGAGATCACGTATGGTAAATCTGGGAGGTACCCAAAAAGTCGACTTTTTGGGTACTACCTGCTTTGGTGGTGATGGGTCTCAACTCTTGGGCAATGATATCTTTTATGGGGTGAAGGGTTCAGCATCACGGGGTTCATGCAAGAGATGACGTCCGATGGTAAATCTGGGAGGTACCCAAAAAGTCGACTTTTTGGGTACCTGCTTTGGTGGTGATGGGTTGGGTCACCGGGAGAAACCGATCGATTCAGCACAAGTCCGGGCGCCGAGTCGACTTTTTGGGTACCTGCCTTGGTGGTAATGGGTTGGGTCGCCGGGAGAAACCGATCGATTCAGCACAAGTCCGGGTGCCGATACGTGTGGCATTTGAATGTACCCTAGACCATGGGCGCAGAACCCAACGCGTCACGGGGTTCATGCAAGAGCTGACGTCCGATGGTAAATCTGGGAAGTACCCAAAAAGTCGACTTTTTGGGTACCTGCTTTGGTGGTGCTGGGTTGGGTCTAAACTCTTGGGCAATGATATCCTTAATGGGGACGCGGGTTCAGCATTACGGGGTTCATGCAAGAGATGACGTCCGATGGTAAACCTGGGAGGTACCCAAAAAGTCGACTTTTGAAAAAACAGAGACAGTCCTCTATCGTGGAACCCACCTTTGCAGTTTGGCCTGCGAGGGGTCCTCGGCGATAGAGTGTGCCTGGACAGCAGGA